GTCTGAGGTAAGCTCTTGCCAGAAAAGGAATAAGTAAGATGAAGAGGAAAAAGTGTAGGATAAATGATAAGAAAAACAGATAAAATCAAAGTAAAATAAGAAGATAATAATAAAGATTAACGAAAACTCAATAAAAACTCTTAGAACAAACAAATAACAGCACAAAATAATAACAAAAATTAGAAAACAGAAAACAAGTATCAAAAATAACAAAAATTAGAATAACGAAAATTAAAGTGCTAAATTCTGAATATGTACAAATTAACATTTATCTACAGCTATGTAAATGTTGCGGCCTCATGTGAATGTAGTCAATTTACGGATGCGGATAAACAATGCACGTTTTATTATCTGGAGAAAAATGTGCCATCGCTTTATTATTCAGTGCATTATTATCACTTACAACACAAAAAATTTTATAACCAAGTTCTTCTAATCCAATAATAAGTTTTTTTGTCATATTGTATAATAGATTATGATCAATTTTAGAAACAGGACAGATTTGAACAACTTCTTTGAAATTGGAGTAGAAGCTTGCAATCATAAACACATAGGCTGTTGTAGCTGATGAAGTATTATTAATTGACGCTCCAACAATATTACCCCCTTTTAAATCTAAATATGGCTGAATGTTTATTTCATCCATCAATAAAATCATGTATACTTCATCTGAAGTCACTTGAAACACTGTGAAATACCGGGTGTGTTTTATATATCTATATTTAACACGCTCTGTTGCTGCAAAAATCGCCAAATTTCGCATCAAATATCAGCAAATATAAGATCAAAGGCAGTTTCACCGGTCCACGTGGAGTAAAGCACGCCTATGCGTGGACACAGCCAATGAGAAAGCGTGTATTTCAGAGCTCCGAACAAGTGCAGGTGGCTACTGAAAATTGAAACAGTTTAGCCAGTGCCGTGTAGCGGTGAATAAACGTGTTTTCTTTAGTCTGTCCGTGTTTTTTCATAGATTTTATTAGTTTGTGTGTTTTTGACTTTTGAATACTCAGTTTACTTGTTGATTTAATTGTTGTGTTGATTGTTCTTATGTGTCCTAAATATGGCTCTTTGGAGACCTTGGGAAAATGCTCCAAGCCACGAGGAGATGGTTGATGAACCTGTGCAGGCAGAATTCTTTCATAAAGATTTAGAGGAACAGACCCAAAGAGTAATCCTAAATATGTATGATTGTTTGAAAAACGAAAATCCAGATTCCTCGCAAAATCAAATTTTAAACAGAATTTGTATCCTGACAAAAATCAGTCGGTCTACCATTTATCGGCTTATAAAAAGGGGAGATGTAGTCAACCATTCCTTCCACAGAAAGCGCATAGGGCAAAAATTAAAAAGAATAGACGTGGGTTTTCAGGAAGATATTCGTCGCATAATATACAGATTTTATAAAGAAAATTTGGTGCTCACGTTGGAAATGATACGGGATAAATTAAAAGATTATCCTGAAGATTTTTATAATTACAAATGCTTAGACTCACTGCACTGTATTGTAAAACTGTGTGGTTTTCAATACAAAAAATTAGATAAAAGAATGGTGATTATGGAGTCGTCTCGAATCGTTGAATTGCGCCAAGAATTTTTGCACAAAGTTAAAATCTATAGAGAGCAGAAAAGAAATCTGATTTATCTGGATGAAACGTGGTATGATACCCATGATGTTGTGCAGTACGTCTGGGTTGACGACAGCAACAAGTGCATTTTAAATGCACCATGCAACCGTGGAAAACGAATCATTATTCACCATGCTAGCAGTGAAAATGAGCAGCAGTTAATACCAAACATTTCCCCAAATTCAGTGATTATTATGAACAAAGCGCCATACCATTCCCGACAGAAAAACAAAATTCCGAATACAGGCACAAAAAAACAAGACGTTATTGATTTTATGAAGGATAAGGGAATGGAAATACCACAAAAATCAACCAAAGCCATATTATTGGATCTTATTAAAAGACAAAAATTTGAAAAAGAGTATGTTGTTGACAATCTGCTTCAGCAAAATGGCCATGAAGTATTACGTCTACCTCCCTATTACTGCATTTTTAACCCGATTGAGTTGGTCTGGGCTGCTTTAAAGAAAAGTAAGAAAACATAATCAGACCCCTCAATTAAGTGAATCGCTATTGGCCACAATAAGAGATGCAGTATCTCATATTGCTCCCACAGACCTATGGAAGCAGTGTTCTAGGCATATTATTGAAAAAGAAAATGAATATTGTGTTTTGCCTCCTGTAAATCCCGTTGTAATTCCTCTACAAGATGACTCTAGCGACAGCTCCGAAGGCGAGGATGATATATAAATACCTATAATGTATATCTTTATATACCTTTTTATATACCTACCTGTTATGTAAATATTTGCCTATGTTATACGTTGGAATTCTGTAATTTTTCCATTTCTTAACTTTCAGTCAACATAAATTAAACTCCCAATATAAGTATTTTTTATCCCAAATCAAAAAAATAAGAAGATAGTAAAATCCATTTATTGTGATATAAAAACATTATTATTATCGTTCTAAATAAATGACCGCACGCCTATGATACGTCATGAAATTACAAAGGACGCGCCGATCAAAGGTTTTTATGCTATTTCAAGTGACTTCAGATACACCATACCTTCGGACCCTTCCCGTAATTACCGACACAATTAGGAACGCAGCACTTGTAAGGCATTTTGAAAACTTAGCTAAACAATCGCGAGACACAAATATAAGTTTAAAACATCAATAATTTTCCGTTTACATGGCATTGAAAGATGAGGCTCAGAATGTGAGGTTAGTTGGCAAGGTTGCCACATCTTCCAATTTTGAATGGAATATTAGACTTCACAAGCGACAGATTGAACGTAATATCGAAAATGTATTCTTGATATACTGAGGCAGATCAGAAAGAATAATCACATCATCACTGAAGCCGCGCAGGCCCCGAGTACATCTCGCAAATTCGCCCACAGAGAGGTACAACTAATTAGTAGAGATTTCGATACTGCTATATCAAATCTAGATACGACAACACCGCAGAGAAATGGTGGCGCGGTTCTCTTGCCAGCCAGTCATCGCGAAACTCCATAAGAACATGCCTGCGTGACGTCACAGGCTTTTCAGAGCCCAGTTGTTTGGCCCTTCATTTTTTAAGAAAGGCAAAAAAGACCATTTCAAATCATTGTCAAAAATGTGAATCATCAGAACGCACTAACTGATCTTGCAAAGTCTGATGTACCTGGATTGCAATCGAGATTGAAGTTCTTTTCAGTCAGATTCAGAGTAAAATTATTAGAATAGTCCGCATCCCGGATATCGAGCAGGATAACACAGCCTCAGCTATAAGAGTGCGTAATTAAATTTTGCCCTTAGAGAGAGTCGGCATCTCAAAGAAGAGAATTAATATTTCCGAGGCGCTTTTCCGAGGTGAAAATCGGAAAAGTGCCTGCCACGTGTCGCTCGCGTACCGTACAAATTGCTTACAGTTTCAGACTGCGCAAAGGACAAAGGAAAATATTCTTGCTGCGGGACGCCAAAGAGGGCCTTGAAAAACGAGTGGTGCACCTCTAAAGATACTAGAAAGAGAGGAGGGGAAATAGATCGATTCACTGGGGTAATGCAGCGGCGATACTCGAAAAGTTTATGTAATCCAGGACCATTAGGCGAAAAGAAGGCAAATCTCACCTGGCTGAATTCTTTACCAGAGCTTCTTTTCAACATTATACCTAAATCATTAAAAGTCCCCATGAATCCAAGTGGGGCTTTTTTTTCTGGGGATCAAAGGTAACAAAAAACATTATTTTCCATATAGATATTTTCGAAAATATCAACTCTACGAAAAAATGAAGTACAGCAGACGCTCGATAATGTAAACTAATTTAATCCAAGTGTGGTTCACATTATCGAAATGTTTACATTAGCGAACGTGATTTATATAATATTTGATTTATTAAAATAAACGTTTAATACATATTATTTATAACAAAAGAAACAAATATTCTAACGGCGATAAGTATTTTTTTAATTAGAAGAAAAATAATTAACAATTTTTGTCTGCGTAAATTTGCGCTTAGCATTGTCTTCCAATGCCTGCGCCCGTAATTTCAGAAAAACTAAAATATCCGTGTATGAAACTTCTTTTCTTTCAACCCAATGTAAAGCTTGGTTAAAAACTTGTATAGCTTGCGTGTCAGTCACTACACTTCTGACTTCAATGGGATCCTTCTCATCATCCTCACTGTCCATATCCTCCTCCTTATCAGCATCATTCGTCTGCTTATCTTCGTTCCATAAATTAATATCAGCAGGAGTACAAACAATGTTGGGGTTCACTGTTTTCAATAAATCAACAACATCCAATGACAGACTAATAACATTATCATTATTGGATCCCAAACGTTCTCTAATTACGCTTAAGGGGACTTCGTCTTCTTTATCATCTTCATTATTGGTACAAAAGAGATTGTCCCAACATTTTAGAATAGTTTGCTGGTTAAGTTCATTCCAGGCCATATGTAAATCTAAAACAGCTTCTCGTAATGTTACTTTTTTTAAAGCCTCAGATAAGTTTTCAGGATTCTTTGATAAGACAGACGAAAGTAGAAACTTCCTATAGTATAGTTTGGTGAGTCTTATTATATTCTGGTCCATCGGTTGAATTAACGGTGTTACGTTGGGCGGCATGTACATGACGAAAATTGACCCATCCCTGCTCCTCAGTTGTTGCTCGGGAGGATGACTTGGTGCATTATCCAATAGTAACAACGCTTTGATTGGAAGCTTCTGTTGTTTTAGGAAACCTTTTACCTAAAAATTGAAAACACATCTTCAAATTATGAATAGAGCATTTGTGATAATTGATTGTCATACCTGAGGGACAAAGCACCTGTGGAACCATTTCAGGAATATACTGCTAGGCATCCAAGCGGTTTTTGAACAGTCATAATCAACAGGGATATAAAAATTTTTAAATGAGCGCGGATTTCTTGCTTTCGCAGTTACCAGTGGCTTTATTGTTTGTGAACCATTAGCATTAGTGCAGGCTGGAAACGTTATTCGTTGTTTCTCCAGCTTTCTTCCCGGGGCAGATTTTTCAAATGATGCAGCATATGTTTTCTCTGGTAACATTTTCCAATAAAGGCCACTTTCATCTGCGTTGTAAATTTGTTCCATTCTTAAATCTAGCTCGGTAATTAATTTTCATCAATTTTTCTTTGAATGGTTGCACTAATTGTGGTTGTGCTGATAATTTTTCACCAGATATAGACACCAGTCGAATTCCATATCTTGTTTTGAATCATTGTAGCCAGCCATCACTAGCTACGAAATGTTCAGTTTCTTTCAGTTTTTCATTTAACAGTGTCGCTCTCTGTTTAAGTACTTCGCCACTAACTGGGACATGATTTTCCCGTTGTTTTAAAAACCACTTATACAGGGAATTTGCCATTTTAGGTGCCTTCGCATTTTTTAAAGTTTCCCGGACCTCCAAATGTATTGCACGTTCTTTGTAAAATTTGAGTTTTCATACGCTTAATTTTAGAGATTGTTTCTGTCGATACTCCATATTTTTTTGCTAACTGTGTCACTCCCGCACCTAGTGCAACTTCGTCTATGATTTTCACTTTCTCACTCAACTTTAAACACTTTCTTTTATAGGATGTGCATGCCATAGTCGTAAAATATATTAACGCGTGCAATGTATTTACTTAAGTTCAAAAATGAAATACATACATACGTATAAACGTATCCTAAACGATCATACGACTGACCGAGTTTGTCGTATTTTATCTCCTACACTCTACATCATAAATCGGGGACTCCCCGACGCCCGACATAAATCATCGACGATTCAGCATTTTACCGTCGCGCTGTTTCCGTGCGCCGATAGTTGTTTACGTTATCGAGCGTACACATTGTTTACGTTATCGCGCGTTCCGTTTGATCCTATAGAACGAAGTTTGTGTTTACATTAGCGCAAGTTTTCATTATCCCGTGTTTACGTTATCGAGTGTCTGCTGTATTACCTTTTTTGTTCAGTATGAAAGAAGGTTCTATGCATTTACAGAAAATTGCGTGAAAGTGTTGTAATTGACAATCCGTATTTCGAAATAGTTTGCTTTTTGAATGTTTGTGGTAGGGGCTCTTTAAGTGTCCCCTCTTGTGACCTAGAGCACAGCTGGCCCTTTTGTTCTTTGTTAGAATGTACGTCACTGTATACCTGACTGTGGGGCATTGACCAGTCTTCAGACCAGTATTCTGCTTCTCTCCGCGTCAGATAATTTCAGACAGTTTTTACGTGATATTATTCACATATAAATTGAAAAATGGCCGAAAATTGCATCATTTGCGTCGAGCGCGGTATTAAACCCTTCCGTGACGCCTGTGTCGAGTAAAATGATGGAAAAACTACATTTTTGCGAAGTGTTGAATCGATCAAAGAGAACAAAAACCGCTACATGTACAGAAATTATACTAAGTGACATATAAATCCGAACACCCAGTTTAAATCGTTTTATTTTAATAAAATTTTGTATAAGTACTTAATGAAGCATAATAAGTAAATGATAAAAATTTCAAAATGATTGCACTGCTTTAAAGCCCTTTGACCTTTAATAATGTGTGGATGCACCCTGATGTGCTACGCATTTTCCAACGCGCCTAGGCATGCTTCTGATCAGGTGGTCAATGTCCTCCTGTGGTATCTCATTCCAGGCAACCACCAACTCCTCTCGAAGTGCTTCTAGAGTCTGAGGAGGCCGTTGCAAATTGAGCAATCTCCTACCCATCATATCCCACACGCGCTCAATTGGGGATAAGTCGGGAGATCTTGGTGGCCATGGTAACAATGTGACATCATTATGTTGAAAGAAGTCTATTGTGACTCTTGCAACATGTGGTCGGGCATTATCTTGTTGGAAAGTTGGATCTGCCAGGGTGTCAAGATAGGGTAAAAGATGGGGTTCTAGAACTTCGTGGATATATCGCTGCGCGTTCATGTTACCTCTGATGAAGATTAAAGGTGACCTGGAACCATAAGCTATAGCACCCCAAACCATAACTCCAACAGTGTGATGAAAATGTCTTTCAACAAAAACCTGTGGATTCCTCCTTTCACCACGTCGCCTTCTAACCCTGGCACGACCATCGTGCATGCCTAAACAAAATCGAGACTCGTCACTAAAGACAATACTGTTCCATTCCGTTGTCTGCACCACTCAAGGCGATTCATTCGTCGGTAAACACTTCGCATGCCAATAGGTCTTCCGTGTTCTGCAAACCATTCATTTGCAATGGACCTGGTAGTGGAGAAACGGTCCCTTAAGGCCAATAGTCTTAGGCGGCGATCTTCACGGTCTGTTGTTCTACGACGGCGTCCAGTGCCCCTTGCTCTTTACGTATGGCCTTCTCGAAGCCATGCCTGACAACACCTAACCACAGTGTCTACACTTCTTTGCACTCTAACTGCAATTGCCCGGAAAGAAAGTCCAGCTTCCCGAAGTCCCACTATACGGCCCCGATCAAACTCACTAAGTTGACGAAATCGTACAGGTCTCCGTACTTTAGGCATCGTAACCGATCGTAAAGGATGTCAAGAACCAAAATCCGCCAACGTTGATTCTTTACTGCGGCTGAAATATTCATTTTTGAGCGTTAGTGAATTAAAAAAAAGCAGTATAAAAACCGGAATGTCCAACTGGTAAGGCTGAAAATTTTTTCACTTGTTATTTACAGTAAGCACCAACTTTTATTAAAATAAAACCATTTAAACTGGGTGTTCGGATTTATATGTCACTTAGTATATATTAAAAAGTGTCGAGAGAGCTGGAAAAATGTGGAACCCGAGGAAATACAGATTTATGCTGAAAATTTCTCATGAATGAATATTTCAGAGGCTGGCAAGCTGCTAGAGTTTTATCAACATGAATTGTCCAAAGAAGTTCCTAGAGACTAACGGGAATTAATAGAGTTTTTAATAATACCGCGCCAGGGACTCTCCTTTGGTATCGACGCGAGGTGCGAGAGTGACCTCGAACGTTCTCGACTGGCGTGGCGTACCGAAACTTTCTCGAATCAACGAGTACCTGCGATGCGGAATATACAGGGTAATCCTTAACGAGCACGGTATTTAGATGGTAGCTATTCTTCGTTTTTCATTTAAGAGAGATATATCGATGACTTTGTTTCAATCAAAAGCAAGTCCTTGTACAATCGACTCAAAATTGATGGCCAAATAATGATTCTTTTCAACACGCTAAAAATTAGGTGCGAACACTGAGAGCAGTTAACGATACGGCAGAAAGAGCAGTCAAGTTAAAGCAAGACTTCCACGGCTTAATCACTGCTGATGAGGAACAAAAATAATATTTATTACGTTGCATAGAAAAATACGGGCAGGTATATCCAGACTGTAAAAAGGAAACGTTGAAAAGAAAATGTATGGAAAAGAAATATAAGAAAGAAGTAAAGCAGTGCTTTATTTGATGAATGAGAATTAGGTTTTAAATTCCATACATACAGTATTGGGCAAAAGTATACTAAGTGACATATAAATCCGAACCAGGTCCATTGCAAATGAATGGTTTGCAGAACACGGAAGACCTATTGGCATGCGAAGTGTTTACCGACGAATGAGAAGTTTTGGCTTGTTTTCATACCGGCCACACTGGGTCCTCACTTTAACTCGAGAACACCGACGTAATCGCCTTGAGTGGTGCAGACAACGGTCACTCTGGGATCAGGATTGGAACAGTATTGTCTTTAGTGACGAGTCTCGTTTTTGTTTAGGCATGCACGATGGTCGTGCCAGGGTTAGAACGCGACGCTGTGAAAGGAGGAATCCACAGTTTTTTGTTGAAAGACATGTTCATCACACTGTTGGAGTTATGGTTTGGGGTGCTATAGCTTATGGTCCCAGGTCACCTTTAATCTTCATCAGAGGTAACCTGAACACGCAGCGTTATATCCACGAAGTTCTAGAACCCCATCTTTTACCCTATCTTGACACCCTGGCAGATCCAACTTTCCAACAAGATAATGCCCGACCACATGTTGCAAGAGTCACAATAAACTTCTTTCAACATAATGATGTCACATTGTTACCATGGCCACCAAGATCTCCCGACTTATCCCCAATTGAGCACGTGTGGGATATGATGGGTAGGAGATTGCTCAATTTGCAACGTCCTCCTCAGACTCTAGAAGCACTTCGAGAGGAGTTGGTGGTTGCCTGGAATGAGATACCACAGGAGGACATTGACCACCTGATCAGAAGCATGCCTAGGCGCGTTGGAGAATGCGTAGCACATCAGGGTGCATCAACACATTATTAAAGGTCAAAGGGCTTTAAAGCAGTGCAATCATTTTGAAATTTTTATCATTTACTTATTATGCTTCATTAAGTACTTATACAAAATGTTATTAAAATAAAACCATTTAAACTGGGTGTTCGGATTTATATGTCACTTAGTATAGTACAAGCAATTACACCGACGATTCTGTCCTCAAATACATTCACGTAACGCCAATTAGACAAGGAAGTGTCCATGTTTACGTCCATGGTTGTTACTAGTCGATAAGGAGCTAAAATAATCGGTGCGTAACGAAGGCGTTCGATGCATATGGTAGAACGGTAGAACGGCCACGGACGGATTCCTAAATCGTTACAAAATTAGATCGGCTTACATTCACCATTCGTTGTTGGTGTCCATGCGAATCAGATTTACATAACTGGCGATCGCGTGCTAAGGACGAGAATTGGTTCATCTTAAAATATTTCTTGTTACGTACGCATTTTCAATAGCCGACCATGCAAAAAAATAGATTCTTCACACCAAAGCAGCCGCGCAGTCAGAAACCGAATACAAGGGCACCTTAGGAACAAATGAGCGACCGAATGATTCTTTTATGACTATTAAAATGAAAAATTAAAAACGACGATTGACAATATACGAGGGTTGTGTCGAAAGTACGGTTCCCACATTTTTTCAGGCACAAGGAATTTTTCATTTAAAAAAACGAATTCACCATTGGAAACAATCTTTAAGCTATTTTTCTCCATAGTCGAAATTCTTTTTCTGCCCTACCGGTAGTTCATCTGGCAACGCCGCTTCTTCCCGATACTCAACACGGTCACCTCAGCATAGGAAACACTATGCAAGGGCAAGTTGGCAAGTG